TGAAGAGGAAAGGTGTAGGAATATCCCTTCCGTAGGGGTTGTTCTAGTGGAAAGAAAACAATACCATAATGCTCTGGGATACAATATTATAGGAGGTTGTGAGATAAAGTGCATGTTAGAGATTTTAGAGATGAAGAAACTTTACTCCGAAGATTTGACTTGACATAAATGAAAGCCAAGATTTTGAAGTAAATGTGGATTTGCTATATTTGACAACCACTTGGATCTGAACGAGCTCATCAAGTGACTCCAAAATGTGGAGTTTTTCTATGAGTTCCAGGACGACCACCAGACAGAATGGTGAAATCTGTCGCCAGCATATTAAAGAAGAGTGCATTGTTTTGATGAGAAAAATTGAAGCACCCACGCCAGCATGAGGGAAAAGAAAAGATCATTATCTGATCTATAAGATGAAATGAGAGATGCAGAGCCACTACCTACCAGTTCATTACAGTTCGTATGTTCCGGTCCCAACTTCAAAAGTGGAGAGAACAAGTGAAGCCATTTATTCTGGAGAACAGGTGAAGCCAACCAACATTCGTAAATCAGTCCCAGCCAGAAAGTGCGTTAAGTGTCACGGTTTTGGGCACACTGCAATATATTGCCCAAACAAGAGTACAATCTATTACTGTAAGAAAGAAGCTTTTGAAGAAATGAGTAATGATATAGTGAACACTGACGAAAGTGAAGACACAAAAGAGGAGTACAAGCATCCAACTGATGAGGGAAATATGCGCATAGGTCCGACTGAGCCCATGAGAGACTTCAATCAAATTAACAGTGGTTGTCCTAGACAATCTTGAGTTTGAGGAACTGACATCAGAGACAAGGCAACCCCATATTAGAGAAATTCTGACTTTTTAAAATATATAAGCTACTTCCTGGGTTGCCCCGATTGAGAGCGGTCTAACTTGTCAGAGGTAAGTTTTCGTTGCACCACTTATAGAAGAATATGGATTTCTTTAGTTATTAAAATCAGTTAACGATATACTCACCGATAGTTTAACGGTTTACCCACTGACAGATGATCAGACGGGATGGATGAACCACAATGT